TCTCACACGGAGGTTTGAGCTTTAATCACCACGCTTGCTCAATGCGGGTTGGTGAATTCTAACTTTTAATAGAAATTATAAGCCCAGGTTTGCCCCTGTTTCCTTCATCGTTTGTCAGTAGTGTCTAAATAATAATAGATAGTACATATAACGCGGAAAAAGTCACATTAATACATGAGAAGCAATGAGCAATGAGCAATGAAAATGTCTTAAACCTCCGGGCCACCACGACATATCAACTATTAAAATTACTATTATTTGCCGTTTTGTAACAACAGAGCAGAACACCACAATCACCACCAATACTCCTCCAGTGGGTGTTACTGAGACCGGATAGCAGTGCTTTCTAACAAACCTGAATAAAATAGAAATTATATGTTATACTTTTTTATTTTATAAAGCTGAAGTGTTTGTTTGCCTGAATGCGCTAAACTCTGGAACTACTTGTCGTATTTCAATAAATCTTTTTGTAGTAGATAGTCCATTTATCGAGGACGGCTATATGCTATAAAACCTCACGATACGATCAAAAGGAGCCGAGCAGAGCGAGTAGCTAGTAAATAAATAAATTGTAAACTTAATAAGTTTATTTGTAAAACTATTGTGCCAAACACGGATATTACGGCAGTATGGTAGCAGCAAGAGGACCGATAGTCAAGCAGAATAAACTTTATAATTATAAAACTTGAAATCGTGTTTTTGCGCCTATATTATCTCTGTTCAAACACAACTCGAAACAGGACAAACCACAGCTAACTTCCCCAAATCGATGGCTACATAAATCAAAACTATCATTATGTAATCCCACTGAAGTACAATAGTCGGCCAGTTTGTCTCCACAACAGAACAACTTGAGTTATTGTTCAGCAATCTGATTGTTTGATTTAAACTTCTCATAGTACTGCGTCCCTGGTCATGTAGTTTCTAGAACGACTGTTCATAAACTGATTTGGACAAAGCCTAATTATTTAATTGTCATTGCTTCCAGCCTTTGCATTCTCGAACGTATAGATGCACCTTATAATGTACTTAAGTACATACATAACCTCACGCCTGTATCCCATAGAGGTAAGCAGAGATTATGGACTTTTTAGTTTTGTAATTAGTATAAGTAATGCGTCAAGCGTGTCTTTGCATTGTTCTCACATATATGTACACAAAACACCGTTAATTAGTTCGCAGTGCTACACATCGACACTAGTATGACTACACAATATACATGTCACATTCGTCTATCACACACATCTTGGTATTTAAACTGTCAAATACCAAGCGGTCACCGGTGACCGCAACCTATTGTTCTATAATTGTGTCTACAAAACCGGTACTCGACGAGTTAAATATCATTTTTGTGTCGGTATACGTAATTATTTAGTAAATAAGTTTAAATAAAAACGAGGGTAAAGATAAAAATAACTTATAACAAACTTTGAATAAATCGAAATCAAATAATGAGCAATCGAGCTATACAATACCCATATAAATATAGTGTTTTCTCATCGTATTTTTATGTTACTGAATGGTATACAATATTTCGATGATCTCATTCACAGCGCGTTTGGCGTAATGGTTATCACCTCCAGTAAAGTGCCGCCGGATCGATTCCAGCATTCACAAGTTGTTTCAAGAATTCATTCATCAAAAATTTAAAATTTGAAACAATGTTTTAATTTTTTCTTTTTTTTCTATCCTATTTTTCTAAATCTTCGTTAATTTTAAAATTATATACTTTATCGCATGATATTTCCCAATTGGACTATAAGGTTTATTGGCATATTGATTAATTATTATTTAAAAAACTTTAAGAACTTAACTGTGGTATGATAATTAATTATTATAAATATTGAATATAAAACCACTTATTTGTATAATAAATAAATTAATTGTAATAAAAGATATTACCTATTGTTTTATTTACCGACTTATCTGCTTCTTTTATAGCCTGATCTAATATTTCAAAAAACAAAAAAAAATTAGAAAAACTACATAGTAAAATAAAAAAAGAATCTTTCAGCCGGAATAGACCTCACATCATCATTGATCATTGAAAGACGATAAAAGCGTGCTCATTAACCAGTCGACCACGAACACTACGTTAATACCTGTCAAAATGTCGGGTCATATCAATGATTGTAAATAGTTTTAACCTTACCCGTGAATTAAATTATAAAAATACGTATACCGACACAAGAATGAAAATACCAATGTGAATGTGATGGACGAATATTTTTATACACAGTAATATGAAATTACCCACACATGTACACTGTGTAAAAGATAGTAGTGTTGATGTGTGGCGCTGCTAACTAATTAGCGGTGTTTTGTGTACATACGTACAGTATTGGAATATGTATCAGAGACATTGTAGAACATATTTTTTTTTAAAAGAGTACTTGATGGAGCTTTTTGCTCGTTCTTCTGCATTCGAATCTACATTTTGGAATGAGCACCTAGCTTCACCTAGCTTCACTGACGGACTGACTGACAGACTTTTATTTATTTTCAAAAGTACCAAATTATGGTTTAATTGAAACAAATGCTTTGACTTTTACTTTGACTTTATCACTTTTCACCAGTTATCTTATAAATCCCATGTAATAGTGGGTAAACTACTGCCATATTAGTGATTCATAATTATCATAATATCAGCTACAAATTACAAGATTAATTGTTATGCTTTCGACTTATTCAAGTAACTGTTTGACGAGGAACTCGTCTAGGTTCAAGCCATGGTAGAGGCTCTTCTCGAGTTCCTCGTCTACAATTGAAACGTGAGTAAGCCAAAAACATAATAATTAATTTAGTATGTGAAACATAAGTTTTTAATATAATAAACTAATTACAAGATGTCCTCTGCTAACCATAGGCCTACTACCCAATGACTTCCATATAGGCCGTTTGGAAGCAAATTGCATTTTTTATAACTCCCTGCGACTTTTATTATCTGATCCACCTTATTACGATTGCTCGATTCTTTCCAATCGATTATTCGATACGTAATTTAGATATTTCGGTTACCCATTGTGTACTTTGGTAAAGGAAAGTTGTTTCAGCTTTCAAAGGCCGCGGGTTAGTTCGCTATTGCCTTTTTGTATCCGATTTTAGTCGATTGTTAAAAGGATGTTCTTTATCGATTACAATCCAACCGTGTTGTGGTGTGTGATTATTGAGTTTTGTTAAAAATATTTTGTAGATTTTCGTTAAAGGGTTCAGGAAAATCAATTTTATGGTATAAAATGGATTTCTATTTCACTTATTATATTATGATAGATTACTTAAACTGAGTCAGCAGACTTTATTTACTGTGAGATTACTCGATATTTATTACTGAAATTCGCAAGTCGGTAAAACGTGTCAACCCTACTAACATGAGGTGCGAATACAAATTCGTAATACACAAAATCTTAGTGTGGGTGGATGTTTGTAGCACTTTTATGCAAAAAGGGCTTAAATGTCTTTTTTTATTATTTCTACTCTTATTCAAAGTACACGCAAGTATCCTATACAAACATAACAGTACAGCAAACCGTAATCGCAGGTACCAGGCAAGCATAAAACCTAATATGTTCATAAATCGGGCCTTTAACACTACGTTCGGCGTACTAAGGTGTTTCTCTCGAATGTACACAACATCCAAGCAGTTCTCCACCTTATATCGTAGGCGGTAAGGTCGGTAATAAATTGTGGTAATTTATTTACTAGGTCGTTTAGATACATACAAATCTCGTGTTTGTTAGAAGGTGTATCGTAAGAGATTTTGTATGTTAACGGACTTCATATTTTAAAGTCAAGTTCTCGCATTTTTTAATCTCACGTCTTTTATGTAAAGTATCTCACTTATCAAAATAAGATTTACAGGAAGTTTCTAACAAACTATTTGTACCAAAGTACCTACTCGCAACCTACTTAATTATTGCAGAACTAAATGTAACTGTTTTATATTGATTTTTCTTTAAATTCCTTTCTAAAATGAATGACCCATATCATTCCAATAAGCTTTCTAATTTTGATTTAGACAGAAAATGAACCAGGCTTCATGAATGGACAGGAGATTGACTTAAAAGGCAAAGAGAAAGTATCTCAATTCATGCATTTTAATCTTCCATGATTTCCATTTTCTCTTTTATTCCGAAATCAATGCCGTGTTAGAACACGGTTGAGTAATGTATATTTTAAAAGTGAAAAAGACGCAAAAGGAACGGAACAAAGCTTTTGTTCGGCCTTCAGCCACTTCCCTTGGGTCTATTGTTGAAAAAATAAAAAAAAATATTCGGCCATTGCGCGGGAAAAACACGGCTTGGTGACTAATGTCGCGGATGGTAGTGGTACAAGCTTGTTTATGTAACCTCTTCATGAACTTGTGCGCCTGGTACTTTTTATGATTCAGAGGTTGTTTTGGAAGAAAAAAAGTATTTTCATATCTCCATATTTACCTATTTGGAGAAATTAATAAATTAGTAGTTGTCTTAAATTCTACACTTAAAGTTCAAATCTAGATACACTCCGCCACTATCAACCAAGCTTAAACCTAACTACTATTGAAATAAAGTCTCGATTCGAAAATCTAACTCCGTACCACATCATTTTTTTTCCGCATCATTCAAACACCACAAACATCAAATGACTGGAATCACAATCGGGAACATTTTTCCTTCATTGGGAATTCATGTATTCACGTGCTCGGATGTCCGGGGTGAACTCAAGGGGGTAATGACGTCAGATCGGTTGCGTACAATGTGTCAGACGGTTTTAACGTATCTGGCGATTTGATGTGCCTAAAGTATTCACATTGAATAGTGTTTTAGTGTTTGTCTTGGTACTTCATATTTTAATTTAAAATACAACATTTCTACTATTGAAACAGGGAGTCTTGATATCCTTTCTCCAATATGTTTTTATAAGTCTAACTTAAACCAGAGAAACGTTAAACCGATTCGACCAATTTGGTTCTAAAATAATCTGCGTCGTTTTACTAAAACCTACTATTCTATTGTCCACAGCGAGTCCTATCCCCTAACTCCGCTGCCTGACGAAGTTGGAGGCGGAGTGATCACCGAAGGGCCCTCATTACTCCTAGCCACGTGGACCCCCAAGGGCCATGGGCTGATCACCGTAAAAGATTACGATATATACTACAGACCTGCCCCAAGGTCATCCACAGGGTATCGTGTGACGGAGTCTGGCGTGCCAGGCACAATCCACAATGGAGTACCAGACTGGTTGTATGAAGGTATGTGGGATTTTAAAGACTATTTTTATTGTAATTTATGATACCTTTAAAAAAGCTACTTGTATATTATTGTTCTATGATACTTACTTGGCTATCAAGTGGCTACAAAAATCATTGACAGCATTTGTGGGAATGCAAACACAAAGGTTAAAACGTATCAAAGTTATATATATGAAAATAATAATAAGAAGAATTTAATGCAAAGTAAAAAAAATCAATAAGTTTTATCCTTTATTGTTAGTAATAATTGAAAAGTATTCGTGATAATATAACCGTGAATAATAATACCTACATATGTATCTGCATTTTAAATGGTATCGGAATAAAAAAAACCTATACATACAATATTAAACTTAACCCTTTCAAACAAACAAAAACCATTATATTTCCATGCCAATATCGATAAACAACAATTTATATTCAGTATTCTAGTCTAAACCAAACTATAGAAAAAAAAAAATTGGAACATCGAAAAAAAAATTCAAACAATTTTTTCAACGGCAAACACTTTCAATTTCATGGTTGGCAAGGCGGATCCCGGCATAATGCTTACGTCATAACCGTTTCTTTTCACAAAAGGAATCTGTTAGTCTAGTGGAACAATGTCGCCAGTCAATTTTACATTCTTCCCAGCGACCACAGTTCAAACAGTTACAGAAGGTTTATTTAGGCAATTTTTAGTGCGACGCTTTTTCGTTAAGACCTAAATATCTATAATAATCTTTAATTATTTGATAGGTTGTGGGATAAATGAACTACTCTAATTTGTTTAGCTGTCAAACAACGAGCGCATTTTCAGACCGCACGAAATTATTTCAAACCTCTTAAGCCAGAGGTTGAATTTGAGACTTCAACATGCTATACAGGCGACTATTAATAATAAATAATTTGTTAATAATGAGCCTTTCAACGAGAATTTTTATAGTGTACATCCTACAAAAAGACTTCAAACAAAATTAAACGTATAATATCAATGTAAAATTTAAGCAACGCTACTTGAAGTGAGAACGAAATGAAATTCGATATTTACCGATGATTCGCTTTTTCAATATGGCTGCCCGTTCATTCACTTCAATATTGTAATTCTAATAAAAGTTTCGGAGGAAATGCTCCTTGCGAAAATTCGATTCAATTTTTTTAGACCATCTAGTTGAATGTACTCGGTGTTCGGATAAATGTTATTTTTATAGATATTGGCCTGTTCGATGGTTACGTTTCGCCAATGTTTGTGGAAATTGTACTTTGGTTTTCTTGTAGAAGTGGTGAAAATTGTTTGGTAGTTTTACTTGACAGTTTAATGATAAAGTGTAGTCATGTGTGGCCTGCACACCCAAACTGACTTTCAGCCGTCGAATATACTCTACCTATTACCACCAGTACGCAAATGCAGAAATTGTTTATAAAATCCGTAAACTTCAGAAATATTCTGGTTGACTCTTGCAATTCTCATATGTCGTCACGAAGTCAATAAATAACCTGTAAGTCGTACAAAAGTACTAGGCACACAAATTCACGAAGAGGTTACATTTACCAAACATGACGTATCATTCATGTTTGCATAAATACACGTTCATAAAGTAATATTCGACAAGCATTACATACTTTAAAAATGTAAAATAAACTTTTAACGTATTTCCGTCGTCACAGACGAAGTTTTCGCATCATTTATCGATGTGTTCCCGCACTGCATGGCGCACGCTTTGACTGCAAATAACTATAAGTAGTAGAACTTTGCAAGTTACTGCTTCAACTTTCTGAACCCCTCGTCGTTGCTAACTTGTAATATTTGTGATTTAGAGTTACATATTAATTATTTGTTGAAGTTATGTACTTTTCAATATGCGTTTTGTGAATTTCCAATCATAGTTTAAGTACTTAGGATGTACGTGTGATTTTGCGAGTGTCTATAAGCGGCACTTATCGCTTACCATCAGGTGATCCGTCGGCTCATTTGCCTGCCATTCCATAAAAAAGGAAAATGTTGTTTGTTGAAATCACAGATATATATATAATTTTAATATTTCTATGGTTGAAATGATGGACTGTCGCGGAAAGCTGCTCATGAATATGAGCCTCTAGCTGGCTTGAGGCTTGGCTTGAAACTAGTCGAGTTCCTCGTCAAATAATAACGTAAGCAATCCGAAAAATATAGTAATTAATCTAGTAAGTATCAATCACGAAAGTTATAACATAAATGACTATAGACTAAAATAAACAATACAATCAACAAAAACTGCATGCATTTCATATTACCTAGCCTTCAAACAACGATAAACATAACTAAACATTCTTGTCTACAACACTATAACAACTTGAACTAAATATCCGTTGGAACACGAAAGTCCAACAATAAACTATTCAGAACCAACCGTTAATTTCATTCCAACGTAAAATAACTGCCGAAATTTCACATAAAACACGTTTCACCCCTCAAAGCGCATCTCTAGTGGCAACCCAGCGAGCGCCAAGGAATGGCAACTGGCACAATTCAGTCTCGGGCACAATCTGGCAACTGGCACGCAAATGAGCTGAATGCAACCTCTCATTAAGATAAAGGTGGGCCCATTTACAAGGTAACGGAATAAAATAATCATTCCCCTTTTTAGGGTGTGGGGGTGGAAAATTAGGGCGTCTCGTCTTGTGGTCTCAAGTTGTTGAGGTTCAGTAAGAAAATTACTTTAGGGGATTATAAGACAGCTGTTCCTGAATTGAATGGAGTGGGAACTGATTCTTCCTTTCGTTTTTCTGTGTATCTCCCGAATCGTATTTTTTTCTGGTCATAAAATTTGATGAATACCACACGTTTTCACATGGAGTTTTGTAAACTTTTCGTTTGTTATTTATTACACAGACATAGACAAATGGCATTTAAACACTAGTCGCCAGCTAGCAAACAGGATTACATCTTTTTATTAAAGATAACGTAATAAATAAATGATACACCAGTGAAGCTAGAAGGCAGTACAATTTAAATTATTAAATTTGATAAATGAAAATTGATATGCTATAGGAACGGAACTAAAATTTCCCTGAATTATGAAGTCCTGTGAAGTCTACACTTTGAAAGAGATGTTGAACACCTATTCTCGACTATGTCACATCACTAATTGACCTAGCATAGCACAGCCCTAACCTTGACATTGCAACGATGTTGATGAAAGTATTCTATTTTTGAATTGAAAGTTGTTTATTCGACTGATTGTATCCAGTTAACGGTTCATGGAACGTGGAATTGTTTTGAAATATGACATTTTGTTAAACAATCAGAATTATTGGTTTGTTGCTTCATAAAATTATTATAAAAATTATTAAAATTCATTAAAAAAAGAAATAAAGAAAGAAAGAAAAAACACTTATTCAGCACCAGGCACGATGCAGCATAAATAAAATATAAAAAAGACAATAAATGTGTTACAGTGAAAGTAATAAAAACATTGAGTTGAATAATTAAAACAGAAGAATTAGAAGAGAGACGCTGACAAAATGCCTATGCTAAAAGGGTCACCCACTCAGTGTAAGCCAGGCATACAAGTCACCCAGCACTAATTTAATTTTCAGTGGGGGGCGCCCATGCAGTGACGCACCCATGCAAAGAAGAAACAATACTTCAAAATGCAAAAAAGAACCAATAATTCTTTACAAGGAGTCACTAATAAATCTTAGATTATAGAAAGATAGCATATTTTATAATAAACCCCAAAAAAATATTCAAAAGGACGAAATAAACACTTAAACTTCTAGTTAGCACTCAGACATTACCTGCACTACTTATGTACTTAAATTTTAAAACACAAGAAAGCACGTACCCCAACTTCCCCCATTTTTAATTCACCTTTCTACTTTCCACAACGGTTAAACCTACTGAAACACATCGACATACTCAGACATTCCAGTTATCCGGAAAATTGAGCATGAAAATATAAAGAATAGGGTGGACCTACCTTCGATGGCATGTCCTCACTAAATTCCCCAAACGCCTCGACTATTTCGTAGTTATTTTTCTCAAACACGTCGAAAAAGGGTTCCCCTTTGTACTATGTATGTGTAAGGGTTTCGAATTCCTCCGTGTATTAGTATATTTAGTTTATTTTACACTTTGAGAATTACTTGACTATTTTTGTGTCTACCTAGAAACATGGAACCTTTTAAAAAATATATTTTATACCAACCCGTTAGTAACTCCCTCAAAATTTACTTTTTACCTTAACGATTCAAATGAATTTCAACTTTATAGCTAAACTATTACAGCCTCTACTACCATCTTAATAAATCCCAAAAGGCACTATTTCACATCAGTCAATGAGCTTCTAAATTCAAATTCATTAGAGACGTGACGTCACGCCAGGTACAGACCGTCGCCACTTCGTTACTGGCTGGCAACAATTTATTCGGCAGCTGTCCCAGTGAATTATCTTATCTATGGATTGTCATCGAGACGTCTTGTCAGATGGGGACGGGGTATGGTGTCAGTGGTAGCGGATTGTAAAGTGAAGAAAAGCTGTGCGGCATTATTATTATTATGTAAATTGGTGCTACGGTTCTGACGATTACTCATCGTCAATTTTGAATTGTATCTTATAGTAATATTTCTTTTTTGTACCTAATCAATGTGAACTTGACTTACAAATAAGCATTATAAAATGTTTCAACCCGTTCCTTGTTTACTTGGGTAAGTACTCTTTCGATTCTCACTTACTAAAATGTCATTGAACCCTGTATGAAATGTTGTTTTTGAGTAGGTATTATAAAATGAGAGAGCGTACAATTTAATACCATTAAAAAATAATAATTCAATGCAGTCTCAAAACACCTACCGCCTAAACAATATCGCTGTCACTCACACCACACCCAAAACGTCCGAAGTCTTTGAACTTTTTAATCGAAAGACTTTGAACAGTGAGTTACAGGGTTTATAGGTCTGTGGAGCACAATTCTCAAGTTGATGTCATTTTTGGAGGGAACGAAAATTTTGACGTAGTTAGGTACTCAGGTTTGTAGCT